GATCTGGAGGAGAGCTCTGTTCAGCTTGGCTGTCACACCTCACTTGTGCAGGGCAGTGTGGTAGCCTGAATGGAAAGCCCAGAAGTGAAGCACCTCAGTGAAATAGCAGGAACACAGGGCTGGAAGGATCTTCTTGGATCAGCAAGCCCATTTCCCTGCTATTGTAAGTCGTTAGGTATTAATCTTTGACTTTTGCTGGTCAAGCCCTCTCTCAGCAATGGGCTGAGTTTGTTTTTCCATCTTTGGAGGATCTCACGTTCTTCTGAAGATCCGAAAGAATGAACTTCCACCGTCTTTCCTTTCTCAGTTTTTATATCCTCAAATGATGCTGCAAAATGGGGCATCTTTTCTGTACAAATAGCACATTCTGCCATTTGCAGGACCTTCCCCCTGGTCAGGGGCTTCCTGATCGTTTCATTGTGGTAGCTCCAAGGCCACTTGCTCCAACTTCTTCTTGTATAGATACGGGTGCTCTGGTCTGAATATCAAGTTCATAAATTAACAGTACCTCACCTGGACTTCAAATGTTTTTGTTAGTATTGCAGCAGGACTGAGGAGTTTGATGGTGAGTAGGATGTCTGTATAGGTGTGTGGTAAGAGAAGGTCTTTTCTTCAAAAATTTACCATCTAACCAGATAAAATGCCAGAAGAGCAGGGAGGTGGGAGCACAGTGGGGTGAAATGGTGGTACCCAGATCACTCATGTAATAAAAACCCTTCTCTGTTGAGGCCCCCCCAATATCCACTTGGATTTTTGCCTGTCGTGTTTGAGATCTCCTTCCAACTCTTTTCAGGCAGCAGCTGGCCAAGACACTCCAGGTGCCATGCACAGCACTGTTAAATCAGAGGGAAGGATTCCTTTGGGATGATGGGGAGTTACGCTGAACCTCATCTGCACTTCTAGCTCAGAAGTGATGTTGTGTATACGGCAGATTTGGCTTGGAGATCACCAGTGCAGTTCTTCATAGCCTTGATTCCTCTTGGAAGGGAAGGTCGTGAGCCTTACTGTGCCATTGCAACGAGTGTTTCAGTTTGGTTTAATGTCTGGCATTGTGTCAACAAGAACAATCATAAGCTGTTTTAGTAATTTCATTTTTTTTAGAGTACTTAAACATCATGTTAGTGTCACAGTTCATGACCAGCTGAAGTAGTCAGCTCTTTTAAGTCTGGGAAGGCCCTCTTGAAATATCTCCACTCTTGAAAGAGGTCACTCTTTGCTACCGAGAAACCGTACGTGGTGCTGCGGAGCAGCCTGAGGAAGCCCATCAGTTAAGCTGGGCTGCTGTTTGTGAGAGAGTGTCTATGCACTGCCAAAAGCCAAATGACGTTTCGATGAGCAGAAGTTATTGCTACTGTCCGGCGTCTGCACTGATACTCATAACAGTTGTCTCATTCCCGTGGCCCAGGGTAGTTCACAGCCATAAGTGGTATAACTAAAGTGTTCAGAAATCATTTTGCACTTAGGAGCTGGTACCTGGGACAAGTGCATCTGGCTCCAGTGTGACAGGGCTGATTCAAACCTATGAACAAGCCAGATCACAAAGCAAGAAATTATAAGTGTTGTATATGCTTGACCTTGCTCATCAGTGCCTGAAATGAAAATATGCTCATGCTGAAACCTTTCTCTAGGTTATTGTGTGTTGAATTGCTATGCTAAAATGTGAGGAGGACGGGCTGATTTGCTCTTTCTATTAAAATAAATCGTGGACTACCCGGCCAGCCTCCTCAAGGAGAGTGGTGGGATCAGGAGGCCCAGCTGAGGATTCGGATTCGTAACTGGATGAGGTGGAAAACGCATGGCCAGACAAGCAGCAGGGACAGCAAAGTCCGTTGTGCAGGAGGAATGTAAATCACGTTTGTCTGCAATGTCATGTGAACTTCAGGCTTTGCTGCGGTGGGTTGAGGTCGCTCTGGAGTCGCAGCTCACTCATGCGTGGGGAGGATGTGGCTCTGCAGAGGACATTTCAGCACTAATACTGTTCTCCATCTGCACCTTAGGTCCAGTGGATGAATACATGCTGCCTTTCGAAGAAGAAATAGGTCAGCACCCATCCCTCGAGGACCTGCAAGAAGTGGTGGTTCACAAGAAGATGCGCCCCGTGTTCAAGGATCACTGGCTGAAACACCCTGTACGTCCCTCCTGATTAACGGTGGAAAATGTTTTCCTGTGTGACGGGAATGAGGGATGTGGGTATGCATAACTTGTTAGCTTCAGAGGGAATCTAACCAGTCTGCCCTGGTGCATAGACCTGCTCCCTGGTGCTAGAGAGAGTCGGCGCTGGGGAATGAGGGGTTGCTCAACATCTTCATGCACGCCTTTCCATTTGTCCCTTGTATTTAGAGAGTAAACCAGCTGAGTAAGGTCAGACGGTGCTGAACGTGGAGCGTGTGGTGGTTCAGTAGGACTCATTTAATATGGTGAAAGACTGGAAAGTAAAGTCCCTTTCATTAAGAAAAGGAAAACAATCCATACCATCGGAGGCACGTTCCTTACAAGCTAGATAGCATGCAAGACTTGAACAATTTTTTGAGGAAAAATTAATTAGACATGAAGGCAAGCAGACAATGAAGCAAAATGCAGCATGGGTTTCCCAGAGGTAGATCATTTCAGGCTCGTGTTTCTAATAAAAGAGGTGATTTTTTTTCAGACTGAGAAGCTAAGCAGATGATGAAATCTCACAGGGCTCCAGTAAGAAGCTAAATGCCTCTATTCTGACCAAACTACCACGGTTTTGGCTAGACTCAGGTGTACTAACTTGTTGCCTAGAAGTCAAGGAGAACTGCGGGTTGTAGATAAAGATGAGTGTTCCAGTTCAAATGAGAGCTGTGCTCTTCCAGCAGTGTTAAATCTGGTTATTTTGGTTGTATCTACAGAAGTGATTGCAAAGCAAAGGTTTCGTAGTAACTAATACGGTGCTGCCAGCTCTCACGGTTTTATCATGGGATTTGTAATATTGATGTCTTGTCTTTTAAAACTTCAACTGCTGAATCTCAGGATGTATTTTGATATTTTAAAAAGTACTTTTGGAGCTGTTGAAAAAAGCTGTATGTGACCAAGCCCTACAGCCTTAGAAAGCAGAAGCTTAAAAAACCACGAAAACACATATTTAAAGTAATTTTTAAAGCTAATCTCATGATAATTTGCATACTGTGGAGAAAATATGCCTAATTTTTCCTTACAGCATTAGGCTGTGTTAAGTGGACCTCCCCGTCTGCTGCAAAGATGGTCCCCAGAGCAGACTTTGTTGCTGAAGGTGCTTTCTCCCCCTTGTTGTCCGCAGGGCTTGGCGCAGCTCTGCGTGACCATCGAAGAGTGCTGGGACCACGACGCGGAGGCTCGGCTCTCGGCAGGCTGTGTCGAGGAGCGCATTGCGCAGATCCGCAAGTCTGTAAACGGCACTACCTCGGACTGCCTCGTCTCCATCGTGACGTCCGTCACCAACGTGGACTTGCCGCCCAAAGAGTCTAGTATCTAAGTCCTGGTTCACTTTTGTCTTTCCAGACTCAGTGGATTTAAAAAAAAAGGAAAAAAGTTTAAAAAAAAAAAAAAAACCCACACAAAAAAAAAAACAAAACCACAAAAATCCAACAAACACATGAATGCAGCTGCTATTTTATCTTGACTTTTTATTATTATTGTTATTATTATTATTATTATTATTTTTGGATTGGATCAATTTTACCAGCACATTGCTCTACTGTATTAAAAAAATGGACATTTCAGCAAGCATTCAGGTGCCGACTAATGAATGCAGAAAAGGTGCAGGTACCTCAGAACCTCAACAAACTCACTTCAGTTGGTTTTATTTTATTCAGTTTTCTGGGTTTCTCTTTATTGGTCTGTCTTCTGAGTGGAGCATCTGTGACATAAAGGAAAACCACCTACCATCTTAGAAAACGCAATGCTGCAAACCATGGAGGAAACTTAAGACTGTTATATAAAGAATACACCTTCCTCAAAAGGATTTTTTCCCCATTTTGTTTTGGTTTTGGGTTCAGTTCCTTTTTTTTTTTTTTTTTTCGGAAGTGAGCTTCAACGAAAAACAGCAGATGTGTCTTTTACGGATCTAACGGGTGTCATTGTAACATGGAAAAAAAAGTAACTGGGCAGAGAATGTTAATTCTTGATGGTAGAATTGAAGGGGGGAGCATAGAATAGGGGTGGGGAGAGTGACGTTGGACTTGGCAGCATTTGGGGAAACATCATTTGCTATGGAGCTACTTCTCAGGTAACCATTAGAGGAGGGGAAGGACATTTCTGGGCAGAGTATTAACAGCTGCAGTGTATGGAGAAAGCTGAGTTAAAGAGCCAGTGGTTGTAAGCAAGGTGCTAGTTCTTTCTTCCTCCAGTATCTCGGGCTTGGGTCGTAAGAGAACAAAGTAGAACTACAGTTACCTTTAATTTTTCGACTCCAAATAGCGATGGGAAGGATGCTTTTAAGCAGTGTAATCGGAAGATGTGGAAAGTGTGTTTTCAGAAGCACTTTGGTAAAATACTGGAAGACGGGAAAATTTTTGCATCTTGCTTTCGGTGCGAGCCAGTTCAGGCAGTTCAGCCTTGGGGTTGATTATCCGTCAGCCCGAGCCAACGGTGCAGATGGTGAAAAGAGGAAAAGTGCGAAAACTGGCTCTATGTTGCTTTTTTTATTTTATTTTTAATTTTGGGTTGGGGGGGGATGGAAATATCTGAACCAGAGGCAGATGGCTCCTGTAGCATCCGAGAAGCCTATGAACTGCCCGGTTGCAGGATGCAGAGGCAGCTGAGCAGCAGCAGTGATTATCGCAGCATCTCTCTGGCTGGTTTCTTTGACGCTGCTTTCTCCTTACTCTGTGACGAAACTCTTTTGTCTTAAAGTGGTGCATATTCTAAAATACCGTTACTCTTATTATGCCATAAACTCGCTCTGGTCAGTGAATGTTCCTAATGCTGCTGATTCAACATTGAAATATTTTTTTAATTTGCAAAACATGCAATGTTTAAAAAAAAAAAAGCTAAAAAAAAAAAAAACAAACCACAAAACACACACACACACACACGTTACGTGGCTTCCGAGGTTTAAACTGAAAAAAAAATTAAAACTTCATGACCACAGACCACCTCAAACCAGAAATACCTCAGAATTTTCTACTTGTATGAGTTTTATTATATATTTTGTTAGTTGTGTTGTCTTGTAGTAAGTATATTTTAATGTAAGTTGGCTTTTATGACAAGGGAGTTTTAAAAAAAGAAAAAAAAGAAAAAAAGTTCCAAAATCTTTTAGGAAGTGCTACCATTATTTTTTTTTTGTTTTATAAAGCACCATTGTAAATAACTGTATACAGTTGTAGAATAACTGCCTATATAAGGTACCTGGGCATTATTCACTCTTATTTGTGAAGGCTGTTTCCATTCTGTGTCATTTTTTTTTGGTCTGTTTTAGTGAAAGGACAGTACATCTTTTTTTTTCTTTTTTTATTATTATTTTTATTTTTTTGACTTTGAATATAACATGAATTCTGTGTCTTGCTAGACTGACAAAGTTATGTCCATTGGATGGCCAGAACTTCTAATTTTTTCTTTGTGTTAAGCCAAAATGCAGTCCTAAACTAATCACCCTGTAATTAAAATGTAAAAAGTCTGTATTATATAAATGAATTGGACTTCTTGCCACTGCCAAATTGTCAGCGTGCACCCTTGCACAGGTATAATTTATTAAGCAAACAAAATCGCTAATTGGAGAAAATATAAAGAAAATTGAAATATATTTCTTGAAAAATATAGCTTTAAAACCTAGAGGTCACAAATGAGGACACGGTCCTTTATCTTGAAGAGACATTAAGATAATTGCCTTAATTTGTCTATCTGAATAAAGTCTTAACCTATTCTTTCAAGTTACTGAATGTATATTGCATATTAGTATGTACACACATGTCACTGTATTTCTGTGTGTAGGTTTGGAAGTTTCTGTTTCTTGATGTGCTTCTCTTGAGAACACCTTGACAAAACCAGACAGAACGATACCATTTTGACCCATCCGATGTCCCCGGTGGTGGTTGGCATCTTTGGGCCTGATGCTGCAACATACCTATGCTTAGCGTTCAGCGTGTAGGTAGCTCTTCTGGTGTCATGACGTTAGGCACTCAATGTTAAGCATGGTCGTAAAGGTTTGCAGGATCAGTATTTTTCATGTTTAATACATTTCTGCACTGAGATTTATATAAAAATGTGACTATGTTTTAGAAGTGAAGTGATGTAAGGGTTGGGGTGGAGCGTAGAACAGTTACGATTGAGTGAATACTTGTTTCGAGGTGGGCTTGCTCCCGTTCCCCTGGGAATGGGAGCCAGTTCATATTGCTGCAGAAAGAAAAAAGCTGTACTGTCTTTTAACTGTTAGTATCTGTTTGCTGTTCTGGATTTTTTCCTTCAGCATTATGTGTTATGGCTAAAACAGGCTAATTACAGCAGTTGCTTTTTTGTCCTGATTTCTTTAAGAAGCTTTAAAGTATTTATTGAAAGTGCCATATGATTTTAATAGCCTATTAGACAGTCTCTGAAATCTTCTCTTTTGAGAAAGCATAAACAAAAATTCTCACGTGTAGCGTATCTTACTGCGGGGAACTGCACGACCGTACAAACTTTGACCAAATGTTGATTGTAAAGTATTACATCTTCCCTGGTGTAATGGTTCCTTATAGATCATCTTGTCAACAGGATTCAGAAACTGATTCTAAAAAGAATTTCCAAATTGCGTGTGTGCTCAGTTACAAATTTTAAATGTATGTAGGTATGTGTGTCTTTGCGATTACAGCAGAGAAAGAAATCCTGAACTTCTGCTTATTTACCAATTCGTACCAGTTTAGCTAAAGCTGTTCTTTTAAACTGGTATTTATTTATTTTATTAATGAAGTCAAGTTCTGATTAACTTATTGGTCTTTCAACACTTGAGCTGTCAAGCAAGTAGTTTCCTCACTGCTAATCTAGCATTTGAACTCTCATTGACTATGACTTTGGTTCTGTTCAGTACTGCAGAGGCTTTTTCCAAGTCAGCAGTCAGGCACATCCATAGGTGTAGCTGTAATAAGCAACTGCGGCTCTTTTCCTCTCAACACTCCCTTGAATACGATGGGTACAACACCTCTTACGTTACTTCCCAGGCACTAAATTTCACTTCCCATTCAGACTTAGAGGAAGTAGCTCTTCAAAAACTTTGCTGTAGAATTTTGTCGTTGACCTTCCTCTCTTGTGTGGCAGTTCTTAGGTGAATATTAACCTTGAATATTCTGGGTGAAAATTCTCCTTGACTTTAGGAGCCAGGATTCCCCTCTCTCCGGTGTAACTCCCTTTAGGAATTTATTGCACTGGCTGGGCTGGTTTTCTAGGTGGAGGAAGTTTGAGTTCACATTTTGAAACTGGAAATACCACAGGAGCTCAATTTGGGTTTTTTTTGAGATGACAGAGCTGTGACTTGCTAATGAAATTGCATTAGGACAGCAAGGCTGGAAATTGTGGCTCCTGTTGAAATACATGTGCATGTTATAAGGGATGGCTATAAATCAGTCTAATCATCAGTTAAGTAGCACTAGGGTTATTCATTATGATTAAGGATTTTAGCTAGTCCTGATCATAAAGTTTTCTCTGTTTAAGACAAAAGAAAACGACTTTTTATTCTGCCTCATTCTTCAGCTGAAATTTTCTTAGAGAATATGCTACGGTAGATAAGGTTACACCTATGGAAATGCCAAGATCTTTGTGTTTGTTTCAAAGAGAAGGTCCGTGAGTGCCCCCCCCCCGCCCCAGTAACTGCACAGCGACTCCCTGCTGTTCCCACTTGAAGTTGCTGGTTTCAGTAGAAGCAGCAGAAGCCTTGGGTCCACTCAGTGCAACGTTGCTGGGGGGTATTTCCAGGTTGGCTGGGTCAGGCCTCACCATGAGGAATCTTGTTCATATTAATATCACAGCACAGAAACTGGAGAACACCCGTTTCATTCCTCTTGTGCTACTTTCTAGGCAGGCTGACAGAACTTGCCCTGTTTCGCAGGGGAAAGATCTGGTTTCACTTAGCGTGGAAGAAACTCGTATCGCAGAGGAAGGTGCTGGTGGATAACGTGACAGTGCTGTTGTTGCAGTCCTCTTCAAGCCACACTCCGCTTGAGAAGTTGCTAAGCAGGAAGTGTCCCGCAAACTATTCACTTTTACATACAGAATATTGTTTGGTAACATTGTAAATAAAATAGACTATATAATAGAGGAAAATAAGGACATTTTGACTTTTTTACTTTTAGAAAAAAAATATATATTTTAGTTACATATACAAACAAAAATTCTACATTGTGTGAGAATTCTTTTATACCACAAATTATTTTTGTAATGTCTAATATGTTTCTGCAGGGAAAAGGGAGAAAGGTCTGTGTACGCACAGCAAATAAATAAATAAATATATATATAATGTTTAAATTGTGTGCACTACATCAAAGTCTAGAGGATAGAACAAGTTTAGCCTGAAACCAGTTTGAGGAGCAAGTTTGGATGTACTTGGACATGCGTTGAGGACAGCACTGAGTATATGTTTAGG